TTTTTTTTTTTTTTTTTTTTTAGAAGAAGACGTCACAGGTAATTGTGAATTTCAATGTACATTTTAGAAAGTACTGTCTCTACCACTTAATTTCTGATTACTATATTTCTATATTTCTATATTGTTATATTTTTTATTATATTGTCAAGAGTTCAACGAGTTTCAGTTTTCTTCAATCTTTTGTGCATGGTATGCGTAACGAATAATTTACCTCAATATGGTTATTTCTGTTGTAATGAAGGTTGAGAACTCGATAGATTTCCGAGTCACCTCCAACTCGAAGGTCATCTACGTTCTTTACACCTTCCGAAACAGCTTGCCTCGCGTATTTCTCCATCTGGATATAGTAGAACTCCCTGAAACAATAGCAGTACGTTAATCATCGCAATTTCCTATTACTACTTTTTTCTCTACTCTTTCTCCAAAATGACTTCTTCGAGGAAATCTTCATCCTCGAAAAAATCCGCGGTATCTTCACCGGAGTTTAGATTGAAAAATTTAGCAAATACGTCGATACGAGATATATAGCGCAGATTCGTCGTATAGAACTCGTTACTTTTCCCGTTACAACGATTTATCCCGATTTTCCCCCGAAATAATAAAGAAAGAATCGTTGTCTTCAAGATATATTGTAGAAATTTAGAAAGTTCCTTCCTCGATTGAGATGAATCTTAAACGTCGAAGATATACTCGTGGATCGCGGTGGGATCGAAATGCGGGAAACTCGACGAAAGTCGTAACTCGCAGCCTGAACTCGTAACCTAACCCAAGATACGAGAAATTCTCTTAACTCGCTGGAAGCGAGGAAGAGAGGGGCGAAAATATATTTTCTCCTTGGAAAAGTTGGCGAGCGCCGATGCTCGACGTTGATTCTCGCGGAACGGAGAATGCTAATGCACTGCCGATAATTAATTAAGGGTCGATACTGAAAGTGGTCTGACGCAAGCGGCAGAAGGTGAAGAAGGAAGAAGGGGAGAGAAAGAGAGAGAGAGAGAGAGAGAGAGAGAATCGCAAAGAGGTGTGTACAACTCCTCGTCGTCGGTTGGCAAGCGACGCGGTTCAAAGAGACTATTAAGAACGTGTTACACTGTATCGTCCAAGAAGACCTCGACACCCTCTCGCAGAAGCCAACCGCCGACGTTTACAGACAAGCACGAACGAGCGAGAGAGCGCTCGCTCGCCGTACACTTACAAACGGGCG